TTTAAGGAAAAAGTAATCATCATCTTCATCAATTGAAGATTTTGTTGAAGTATTAATTTCAATATTATTTTTAAAAACAATTAAAACTTCATGTAATAACAAATCCTGAAGGTATTTTTTTCTTTTTCACCATCAATCCAACGATTTTTAAAATAGGGATGAGAAATAGTTGCCAAAAATGCACTTTAAAAATTGTTATCAAAATCATATATATTTTTAAATCTTTTATTTAAATAATTTTCTATGGCAACAGCTAATGGTTTGCAAAATTGTAGATTGGTTTGAATTAAATTTGAAATTTTTTTTAACGACATTTAAAATTGGAGCTGATTCTCCATAATAGCAGTTGGTTTCACTCTGTATTTTGTCAATCGCTATACCCAATGGGGCCATTATATTGCAATATTCTTCTAAATATTGAATTTCAATATCTCTTAATTTAGGAAATTCTAATTTTTGACATAATTTAGGAAGTTCGCCTTTAAATTTTAATAAACTATGAAGACTATCATACAAACTATTCCATCTAGTGCAACAAGGTGTAACTAATTGTTTTCCTAAAACTGCTTTGATAAGTTCTGCAGTTTTAGGCCTATTATTTGCATTCCATAGCTTAGTACATTTAGCTATTGCAGGATGATGAATTTTAGAAATGTTAGGATAATAGCTCTCTCGACATCTGTTGTGGCAATTAGACTTATCGTATGGCACAAACAACGAATGTGTTGAGGCAATGTTATTGAGGCTTCTTTAGACCCTTAAATAAACAAATAAATAATTTTATTTTAATAAAATTTTTTACTAAATTTACAATATCATAATAAATTTTAAAAAGTATTAAATAATACTTTCAATGATTTCGAATTCTATACATTCATCATCATTGATGTCAAAGTCATTCTCTACAGCTTCCATAGAATATCCAAACTTCTTGAAAGCTTTCTTAAAGTTAGAGCCGTTATCTGTAACAGTTGCTATAACTTTTTCTTCAATACCAAGGTCACGATGAATTTCTTTATTATGATCATCTTAAAGTACTTCAAAAAATTTGCCATTAAGTATGCTTAGTTTAAATTTATTGTTATAATTTTATGTTGAAGAATCATCTGAAGACGAAGATAAACATATTGTTCTATTTTCTTCTTCCATAATTTTAAATAGACAGATATAAAACGATTCAAATATGGTAGTTCTAATTGTTAGCAAATTGCTATATGACGACCAACGTCATATATCAAAAATTATCTTAAAATATCTAAATTTTGATTAAATTTTTCATTTAAATCTTAAAACAATATCATTTTAAATTTTAATACTATTTAAATTAACCAATATAAATTTTTTTTTAAGTATCTGTATCTTTTTGAATACAAAGTTGGTTAAGATACAAATACTTTTAAATAATATGTATCTTAGATACTGGATACAAGATACTTTCCAAAATTTAAAAAAAGATACAAATATCCGCGATACTGCCAAACCCTGCCACTTCCAAGAATAAACGATCTTATAGCTAAGCTCAAGGAGGGGAAGAAATTTATCAAGATCGATTTCAAAGACGCGTTCTTACAAATCCCTATCAACATAAACTGCAGAAATATACTAACCATATCCACACACAGGGGATACTACCGGTTTACTAGACTTCCTTTTGGGTTAAAGACTTCTTCTGCAGTTTTCCAACAGATTATGGATCAAATTTTCGGTGACATGAAAGATGTCATTTTTTATATTGATGACCTATTAATAACGGGAAGTAGTGACGAAGCTCATTTTAACAACATAAAAAGAGTTTTTGAAAGAATATTATCTTATGGCTTAGTACCTAATTTTTCAAAAAGCTTATTCTTCAAAAAAAGTCTGAGGTTCTTAGGACACGATATCGACGCCAATGGGATCCACGCTAACCATGACAAGATCGCGGCGATCGTTAGAATGCCGGAACTAAAATCAGCTGCCGAATTGTCAACGTTTCTGGGTATGGCGGGCTACTACAGAAAATTTTTAAACAACTTTGCTGAAATAGCTGATCCCTTGTACAAGATTGTCAATAAGGAAAAATGGGAGTGGAATTTAGAACACTCCAAAAGTTTTGATGATCTTAAGACGTTGATTAGCCTTCCTCCAGCTTTGACGTACTTTAATCCTGAATTACCTATCGGAATTGCGACTGATGCATCTAAAAGAGGTTTAGAAGCTGTTTTGTTTCACACCGAAAAAGATGGCAAAGAAAAGCCAATAGCTTTTGCCTCGAGAACGTTAGCAAAGTCCGAGATAAATTATACCAATATTGAGAGTGAAGCTCTGGCCATTATGTTTGCTATCAAGAGATTTCAAGAATACTTGATAGGGACTAAGTTCACTATTGTAACGGACCAGAGCCGCGAATCCATATTTTCACCAAAATGCTCAAAGATAATAGCACCATGTCATTAAGGTTACAGAAGTGGAGTATAATTTTGGGGGGTTACGACTTTAACATCAGATATAAAGCTGGTAAATACAATGTTGTTCCTGATTGCCTCTCAAGACTACCACAAGTAATTGATGATGACGTTATTGATGATATCGCAATTATAAATGACTTTGGCGATATACCTCTTAGTTTTGACCGAATACGTGATGAAACGTCCAAAGATTTTGAATTATCTCAAGTTATTAACGATATAAGAAATAATGTGCCTATTAAAAACAAAACTTATCAAAATATTGAATATGAACTTAGTATTATTAAAAATTGTCTGTACAAAAGTAACAAAATAATAATTCCAACAAGTCTGAGAAAACATATTAAAGGCACTACATGAAGGTCACATGGGAGCAGGTAAAATTAAATCCTTAGCCAAAGATCGCATGTGGTGGTCTGGTATGGTCAACGACATTGATTTGGAAGTTAGAAGTTGCGACGATTGTAATATTTTTCACGACAATCCAAAGAAAATACAAAATCCATGGGTATTGGCGACGAAACATTTTGAAAGGATTCACGTAGACTATGCGGGTCCATTTTTTACAAAAAATTGGTTAATAATCGTCGATGCCTATAGTAAATTCCCAATTATAGTTCCTGTAAAAAACATAACGACTGAATTCACGTTGAAAAAAATTTTTAGAACTATTTCACTATTTGGCATACCTGAAACCATTGTTACATAAACGGTACCAACTTTACAAGCAAAGACTTTGAGATATTTTGTAGTAACTATGGAATAAAACATGTACTAACATCTGCCTACCATCAGCAATCTAATGGACAAGCTGAACGTATGGTGAGAACATTTAAAGCTCACATGAAAAGAAACATAAAGATTGACTTAGAAACTGCACTGGACAGATTCTTGTTTAACTACAGAAATACACCAAATGATACTACAGGTATCACACCATCCAAAAGAGTGTTTAACCGCGATATCAGAATAAAGTGGGACTTATTGAAACCATTGGAGAATAAAATTGACAAAGTTAACATATCGCTACCGAGAAATCGAACCTTTAATATAGGAGACTTCGTTTGGTGCAAGAAACAGAGCGATGACACGTGGTGCAAAGGCAACATCACGCACAAAGAGAGTGACACCATGCTCCAGGTGAATACGGATAAAGGTGTAGTGAGGAGACATTTAGACCAGTTGCGTAAAAGAGAATGTTTTAATAGATTTAAATATTTTGAAAGTTACCCTAAGAATTCTTATAAGGAGGGAAGTGTAGAAGTAAGTGAAAATAACAAGATACTTTACAAAAACCTTTTTATTTAAAAGATTTTGTAACTTAAATTTTTAATAAAATATAAAACGCAAAATTTCATAATACGCGAATATTATATAATAATCTTTGTTGATTTATCATTCTTATGGAATTCTATATATTCATCATTCCATATTACAAAATTTTTATTCTACATCATTCCCTATTCCAAATTTAAAATTTTATTCCATATTCCATATATTCAAACTTGATCCTTATAATAATGAAAACGTATAGCAACCTTTCAAACCTACGAAAACGTATGGACTCACGCCATCAGACAGACTTCTACGCCCACTGAGCAGCAACTTGGTGCTTTGTCGAGGAGGGGAATGTTAATTGTGTTGTTTATTCAAATTTGTGAAATAAATTATTGAGTACTAATTTAAATGTTTTGTTACATATTGTGGTTTATTCAAATTTGTGAAATAATTTATTAAGTATTAATTTAAATGTTTTGTTACATATACCAGTTGATTGAAATGTTTTAGTATATATATACCAGTTGATTATTATACATATTATCATTATTATTATTTGATTTTTAAAAGTAGAAATAAAATTTATTTAAAACAAAATACAACTTAATTATTTCTTGTTTCTTTTATATACATTTACAACAAGTATGTCAGACATTTTATACGAGAGTAAAAATTATTTTAAAAACTATTCCCTGGAAATATGACTCTATTGCAATAGGTCTGCTGTCCGTATTTGCTTTGTTTAAGGTTAACAAGCGAGCTCCAAATATCAGGAGCTGAATTGCGTAAGGAATATTATTGTGAAATATATGATGATTGAATTTAAAATGTTAAAGTATATGATATAGAAGTATGGATGTTTTGATTAAATTTCTAATTTTAATTTCATATTTTAAAGATTGTGTTTATAAACTATTATAATACACAATTATATATTTTTTAATAATTAAATGATTAAATATATAATTTATTAAAATATATGGTTCATTGGTTTCCCTCTAAATATACATTATACTACTATTAAATTAACTAATTTACTATATTATTATTATAATCAGATTAAAGAGTATAACATATATTTTTCTTAATATTAAATTTATTACTATTTATAATATATTTTGTTAAATATATATTTACATAATTACTTACACATATATTTTATATTTAGATGTATTAATTATTATTAACCAATTTATATTTAATATATTTGTTATTTAAGAATAATTATGATTATACCAAAAAACTTTATCAGGTAAAAAATATGGTTAATTAGTAAAAAATATTTCGCAAATAAGATAAGATTTAGGATGAGAATATTTTAAATAAATGTTATCCCATTCCCAATTCGATAAAATAGGAAAGATATCTGTCGCATTTACTAGTTGTCAGAACGAAGTATTTATTTAAATGAATTATTTATTAATACCAATTATAAGATACTTGTATATGGAAAATGTATATCTGAAAATATAAATATTAAAAAAGATACTTGCTCTAAAGAATTTCACAATCTCAAAAATTGTTTTTTAAAAAGGGTAACACTTATAATTATCTTTATATTTTTACAAATTAAAAAAAAAACATTGATATTAAACATTATTACAACAAAGTTATTTTTTAAATAAATGAGCTATTAATTTTGATGTGCATGTGACATTTTTATTAACAAAATATTTTTCAATTTGTTTATTTTTGTTTTAGACAAAGATTAGATAGTTAAACAAAGATCTTTCCTAAATTATCCTGTGGTTGGTAAATTGCTTATACATATATATAAACAGTTTTAGTTTTATCTATTAGATGAAAATTAATATATACTTCACTATTTATGTCATCCAATTTAATTTAATATCAAATTTTTAAACAATCATTTTAAGATTGTAATATATATGAATAATCAAACAATTATTAATCTCTTGTAAAAATGGCTTGAAATATCTTTCTTTATTTATGTTTATTGTTTAATTTAAATGTGTATTATATTCTTTAATCAACTATTTTTAAAATTTATAGGATCATTATATTTATATTCATTTTCATTCACATTTATAAATGGTGGATAACTAGAATTATTTAAAAAATTTTTTTAATCCAGGAATGATATAAGTGGCATGTGATAAATTGTTGGGCTATTACAATTTAACTGCAGATGATGCAATAATAGCTACAATATTGGATCCCAGGCTCAAAATAGAATATTTTAAATCAATATCTCTTGATTATGATATTGATATATCCAGATTAACAGTTTAAAGAGATTTACAGCAGATATACAGGTATTTAATTTACCCCCATTTAAATACATATCATTTTATTTTATAAGCTGCTGATAATTACAATTGCTAAAATAAGGATGAAAGTCAACAAAACAGGCTTGACATTTTTTTAAACAAAATTATGTTCAACTATGTGAAATCGATTTTTACCTGAGTGAACCAAGATCAAAGAGTGATACTGATCCGTTAATGTGGTGGAAGACAAATGCACATAGGATCCCCATACTCTCATAAATGGCAAGAGATTATTTATCTATACAAGGAACATCAACTGCGTGTGAAAGACTTTTCTCAGTTGGCACTAATTTGTAAAAACGTATTCAAATTGAATAGTGCATTATTCGTATTCGATTCGTTTGAATGAATAATTTACTATTTGAATTCGTACAAATAATAAAATCTACTATTTGTATTCGATTCGAAATGAATTTTCGTAATAAAATAAATCATACTCAAATATATTGACAAATTTTTTTATTGCAAATTTGATTTCAAACAGAAAAAATTATAATAATCCGATGACAAATAAATATAATCAAGTTATAAACAAAATTAAAATATTATATTATTCATTTAATTTATAATTTTAAGCCAATTTTTAAGGCAAAGGGTTTTTCTTATATTTTCTTCTTTTTACGACATGCGGTTTTTTGACAACAAATTAGTGCCAACTGAGAAAAGTCTTTCACACACAGTTGATGTTCCTTGTATAGATAAATAATCTCTTGCCATTTTTGAGAGTATGGAGATCCTATGTGCATTTGTCTTCCACCACATTAATGGATCAGTATCACTCTTTGATCTTGGTTCACTCAGGTAAAAATCGATTTCACATAGTTGTACATAATTTTGTTTAAAAACAATGTCAAGCCTGTTTTGTTGACTTTCATCCTTATTTTGGCAGTTGTAATTATCAGCAGCTTATAAAATAAAATGATATGTATTTAAATGGGGGTAAATTAAATAGCTGTATATCTGCTGTAAATCTCTTTAAACTTGTCTGTTAACCTGGATATATCAATATCATAATCAAGAGATATTGATTTAAAATATTCTATTTTGAGCTTGGGATCCAATATTGTAGCTATTATTGCATCATCTGCAGTTAAATTGTAATATCCCAACAATTTATCACATGCCACTTTGAAATCATTGTTAGAGGTTTTATGGAAACAAGATTTCTCATTTTTTAAGTGTTCAAGAATTAGAATATAATAGGGTATAACCAAATTATATGTAGGATAATTTTCCCCACAAACCATATTTGTAGTCTCATACAAAGGCAATAGGATAGATTTTTTTACAAGATCGTCCCATTCCTCCTGTGTTATGTTAATAAAGTATTATTTACCTATTTATAAATTTTAGTTTACCTCTGATAATTGTTTTTCTTGAAGAATTATAATATTAGTTATAACTTCATTAACTAATTTTTTTATAGCAGGCTTTAACAATAAGCCTCTTTTAATCATTTGGTAGGTGCTATTCCACCTTATTTCACAATCCAATTTGGGTTTTAAAAAAATTATAGGAGGATGTAGTGAACTACATATATTTTTTAATAAATTTAATTTTTTAGGAGAATTATGTATTATCCTAACAATGTTTAATAGTTTTAAAGTTGATGGATTTAAAATTTTTAAAATTTCTTTGGATATTAAATTAATAACATGAGGAAAGCATCAAATGTGTCCTATTTTTATTGATGGATATTTTAAAGAAAATGTATCAATAAATGTTTTATTATTAGTAGCATTATCTAGAGTTATATAAAAATTTTTATTCTCCAAATTATAATTTTTAATTATTTTAATAAAGGCTTTAAATATGTTTTCACCTGATTGTTGTTCATTTATTGGAGCAACATCCAAAATTATGTTATTTATTTTAAAATTATCATTAAAATGGGCTGTTAACCCTAAAAAAGGAACCTGAGTTGGGCTAGTCCAAATATCAGATGAAAAATTAATCTGACTTTTATTTTTGGATAATATATCCTTTACCAACTGTTATTTTTCTGCAAATGTATTATACATATGCAATTTAAGAGTATTGGAGCATATTGATTTTATAGAAGAATCAAGATCATTTGTAAAATTTTTAAAATCAGGTGAATTAACAATTTTAAAAGATTATTATTATTAATAAATAATTTTAGTAAGTTATCTTTATAATTAATTTTTTTAGATAAAAAAAAAGGTGATATATGCTTTAAAAAAGTGTCTATTAATGTTTTTACAGAGATGTGAATGAAACCTATTATAATGATTAATAAGAGGCGATGTTGTTTTGCCTTTGCATTTAATAATGCTCTTGCAATGATTGCAAGCAGCCTTTTCACTATTGAGTTGATATTGATCCCATATAATCGCTCTTATTTGTGAAGAAATTTAGTCAACATCAACCATAACCATTTCATCAGAATCATTCTCCTCTAACATAATTAGGCTAGCTAACAATATTTTATTATAAAGATAATATATTTTTATATACTTTTGGTTTGTGTAATTTTTAATATAATTAATTTTGAAAAAATACGGAATAATTCGTTTTATTCGAATCGAATAAATGATTATTCGTATTCGGATAAAACAAATAATTTATTATTCGTATTCGTAATTATTCGTTTCTATTCGAATTATTCGAATCGAATATTCGAATTTTTTTTGAATAGGCCTAATATAGAGTGTGATTAAAACCATATCCACACCCATTTTATATGATGATAATAGTTCGAATGAAGAGGATACAATTAAGAAATGCAGAAAAAAATAATTAAAAGAGGGCCAACAAATGCAGAGAAATGCAATTTTGCCTGGGGTTGGATTCGATTTAAGATAAAAAAATAGGAGGGTACTGTTCAAGTTTCAGTTCAGGGAATATTTTTGAACCCAGGTTTGGTTCCGGGTTCAGCTCGTGTTTAAGAATTTTAGAATTGATAAAAAAAATTCTATATTTAAATCATAATTAAAAAGTTAAATATAAATTTGTAAAAAATAAATTTTTTATTTTATTTATAGGCAAAATATAGTTTAAAATACAAAGCATAGTCATGTATTAATTTTAAAAATTTTATTTAGACGTATTAGCATATTATCTTTCAAGAGTTGTTCACTCACCCATGATCTATGTAGTGAAAGAATTTTTCCAAATGTGAAAAAGATTAGGGATGTGAACCCTTCGACAAAAAAAAGGGTCCAGGTTTGGGTACTGGAATAAAATTCGAAAGGACCTGGGTTCAGGGTTTGTGTCCAGGTTCAGGAAACATAAAAATAATGACTCAAAATAAGATTATTTTTTATCCATTTATTATAACACTTCTATATATACATATTCATAATTTACAAATGAAAAATTTAAAAATAAAATAATTTATATTTTAAATATTTTATTCTTACACAATCATAATATCTTCTAAAATATCATCCTTGAGATTTCCACCTAAATTAGACAATATATATTTCAAAGATAAAAATTCACGTTCTATCCTTACCTAAAATAGAGCGTTATCTTTATAAAATTATTGTACTTGTGTCGCCGGTACAGCCATAAAGATTCTAGATAAGATATATAATTCTGGATATATTGAAGAATTTTTTTCCCAGAATTTTAAAATATTTATATCCTTATTTATTCTCTTAACTTCTGAGAACTTTACTATTAAAGATGCAATAGGCATTTTTTGATCCTCCTTTCTATCTGATGATAATTTGATTTTTTTTTCTCTATCTAAAAGTAAAATTTCAAGATCATCAATGTTGCATCATTATTATTATTATTATCACTACAACCAATAAGTATTCTCGTAGCCTCCAATATATTGTAAATAATGGAGTTTTATGCCATAAATCCTTAAGATGGTCTTTAGCCATGTGTTTTTGCTCAATACTCAATAAAACTTGATATCGAGGGTCGTCTTAATATATAGAAGCGTATTCGAATTTTCATGTTTTCTAATATTTCGTATAAAAAGGACTGTAAATTTTTCTAAATCCGCTAATAAACATAATTGTTCTGATTGTAATCTTAATTTTGTTATTTTTAAAGGAACTAATACACTATAGTAAGGTTATTTGTTTGGCACCAATCATCTTCCGACAAAATGATTTCATATGCTCCTATAATAAAATCATTATAGAAATCTTTCAAACTTAATAATTCTAGCATCATACAAATTGAGGACCAACGTGTTGTGCATTATCATTTAAATTAAAATATTATTTCTTGTACTACAAAATAATTCACTTTCAAAATAATCAACCTATTTCTATAACATAGCATATTAATAAATTTACATAATAAAATATTATTACACTGGAAAATAATTAATGATATCAATCTCTAAATAAAATGGAAGTCCAGGAAGAAAATTGAAATAAAAACGCGAAGATAAAATAAATGATTCCACAAAAAAAGTTAATAAAATTTAAAAATATTTTTATTTTCAAAATTTTTTATGACACTTAGAACCCTTGG